GGGGGGGGTAGAGATGGATGGATGGTGAACAGAGGAATTCAGAACATTGAGATAACAGAGTATGAGTGTTGTAATCATAACTTTTTGGCTTATGAGTATTATTCTTCAGTGTCAGCCACAAAAAAACACAGTGAGATCATACATAGGTGCAGGAAGGGCTGCCCAATGGTCAGCTCTGACTCAAGTCGTTTTAGACATAACAGTTCATATTGACCTTTGATATGATGGGTCCTACATAGACCTTTGTGGAATTTCTTAAGATTAGCAAACCTCATACAGAACATTCATATGGAACAAAACAGAGTATGTGATCAGGATGTCCTTGCTCTAAGCCAAGTCACCTCTCTGTGTCAATGACTTGTAGGCATGTTACAGCAACAATATGAAATAGCTGGCAGGCATGGAACAAAATGCTGGGGAGAGTGGGGGTCAGACCATAACACAAACCACCTTTCAAGGTTCATTTGTCTTGCTTTCTTGTAGCTATTTTAACTCCATTTCTTGAAAATAGTGCACTTATTCAGCTGTTCCTTTTGAGCTCTTTACAGATTCTCCATATTTTCCCCCTAAAATCATGTAGAAATGAGTTTCTTGTAACACTTCTCTAACTTCAGCTCTACCAAATGATACCTAAAAGACAGTGAATAAATTCCGCAGCTATAAAATTATGAGGTATGAGCCTCTGACCTTGGCTGGTATCCTTACTGAAAACTGCCATCTGTGTAGCCTTGGCTGTCCTGGAACTCTTTAGACTGGCCTGGCCTTAAACTCACAGAGATCCAGCTGCCTCTGACTCCTGAGTGCTGGGATTAATAGTGTATGAAACTGCCCAGCTTGCCATCTAGATATTTAAATTAACCTGAATTCAGTATGTCTAAATTGAACCTATCCTTCCCTTAAAACTGAAGTTTGAGGTCTACTATGTGTTATTCATAATAAATAAGTGGTACCAACTCCAATGTTCATGTGATGAATTGTATTTTTAAAATGCGGCATTCTATACAACCTAATATCACTCAGCAATTTAAAAAAAGTACTGATATATGCCACATAAAACTCTGAAAACATGCTAAGTCACAAATGACTCCTAAGAACATATATCTATACCCATAGACCAGTACATCACTCAACAACTTCTTATAGTTGATGGTAATTAACAGAGACCCACAACTGACATTGTACAGAATGAGATATGCTGGAACACTCAGTCAGCCGTAAATGGGATATGGTCATCAGGCCTCTCCCCTCAAGGATCAGGGGCCTATCTATGCAGGATAAGAAATGGGGCAGAAAGGCTATAAAAAACCAAAAGCAGTGAACTACTTCAAGAAACAGCATTTTCCAGACACAACAATTTGGAGAAGATATGTACAAACTCAAGCTCACCAAACCCCCAAAAATATACTAAAATGTTAGATATACATATTCCATTTACCTAAAATACTCAAAATAGGGAAATCCAGAGACAAACAGCCTGTTAGTGAGGGGAAGGGGGAATGAGAGACTAATTTATAAGAAGCAAGTTTCCTTTTGGGGACTTGAACATATTCTGGAATCAGATAGCATTAATTGTTGGATAACATGATGACTATTCTAAATGCCACTGAACTGTATGCTTCAGAATAATTTTGTATTGTGCAAAAATACAAAACACTTGACAAAAATTTCCTCTGCCTTTTCTCTTTTCTACTACTTCAGGAGGAATCTCTGGAATTTTACTTTTCCTCAAAGTCTCTCTTTTTCATTCCTATCTAGTCTATTTTTCAGTGTTATAGCTTTCCTTCAAAATCCGTATTCACTCAGTCATGTTCAAGTGCTTAGAATCTTTGTGCCAAAACTAAACAGGTTTACTTTCTAAGATTCACTTTATACTTTGGACACATGGATTGTTCTGCTTTCAGCCATTAAATACAGAATCTTGACCAATATCAAACATAAATGACTTTAGGCCAACCAAGCACAGCTGAGCTTTCTTACTGCTTAACTTTCCAGAGTGCAGTGAATGATAAATAGCCTGAACATTCCTGTTCTGTTAAAAAGAAGAAAATCCAGTCTCATAAAACAGATGGAGGGTGTGATGGTTAATCTTCATTGTCAATTTGACTGTAGTCAGTCACCTAGGAGATTAGTGAAACACACCTTTAAGTGAGTTTGGTATTTGACAGGACTAGCTGAGTAGGGAAGACCTATCTAGGATGTGGTTGGCAACCTTCAAGCTTCTGGGAATAAAAAGGAAAAACAGAGAAAGTGAATATGAAAACTATATCTATTTCCTGTTTTCAATTCACTGGGCTGCCATGAAATGTCATGCTCCTCCTGGCCACAATGGACTGAACTCTCTGAAACTATAAGTCATAATACATCTTTCTTTTCCTGTGCTTGTTGAGTATTTCGTCAGAGCTACAAAGAACTAACACAAGTATACATATTTATACTTGTCTTATAGACTACACACATACATACATACATATACATATACACACACACACGCACACAAATTTATTTCTGTGTTCATCATTTGTATGTTATGTTACATCAGAAAAAAAGTGATGTTTAAAAATGACTTAAAGATTTTTTTTTTGGCTTAGTCTGATTAATCAAAAAGCCTAAATGTAACTAACTTTTTGACTCTAAGATTTCAGTTTATCATTTTTCACTATGGAGGACCTCTGAAGGTAAAATTTAGAAGGAAAGAAAAACTCCTAACAAGAAAAATTTACATCACTCAAAGAAAAACTAAGTGCTACCTATATTTCTTAGAGATGTATATAACACAGTAAATTTTTTGAAAAGCTAACACAGGTCACGCAGACAGATTCAATTCATGCATTAGAAAGGCAGAAGTCTGAAAAATGAACTATTCATCATCACATACTGTTAGTGTCCACAGAACATTTTTAGTTTTTTCTATCTTTAAGTGCTTCAATTCCTACGGACTTCCATTTGTTCCTAGAGATTTTCAAACAAGAACGGGAAATTTGCTGACTTAAAACATTTCAGGGCTGGAGAGATGGCTCAGTGGTTAAGAGCACTGGCTGTTCTTCCCATGATCCTGAGTTCAATTCCCAGCAACCACATGGTGGCTCACAACCAGCTGTAATGGGATCCAATACCCTCTTCCGCTGTGTCTGAAGACAATGACAGTCTACTCATATACATAATAAATAATAAATAAATCTTTAAAAAAATAAATTATTACATTTTGTGTGTGTACGTGTGCATATGTATCACAACACACATATGAAGATAAGAAAACAACATGCAGGATCCATCTATTATGTTGGATAGTCAGGAATCAAACCACTAAACACTGAGCCATCTCACCAGCCCTTACCACATTTAAACAGAATCAAACGCATTCCACCTTACATGATCCTACAGAAGTATTCTTTTACATATTAAAACATTGTAGGATTTTTTTAAAGACTTATTTTTATTTATTTTATGTATATGAGTACACTTAGCTGTCTTCAGACACATCAGAAGAGGGCATTGGATCCCATAACAGATGGTTGTGAGCCACCATGTGGTTGCTGGGAATTGAACTCAGGACCTCTGGAAGAGCAGTTAGTGCTCTTAACCAATGAGCCACCTCTCCAGCCCCAGGATCTTACTAACTTTTATTTTTCTTACATGTTGAAATATTTTGCTACTTCCACCATTCTAGGTTACCACTGCTCATCAAGTATCATACCTATCCTTTAAAAAAACAAAAAAGCCTAGAAAAAGGACACAGTAGTAAAATAAATCTGACCAATGCAAGATCTTTTATTTTTTCAGTTTTCTTATGGTTTTCACAAAATGTTACATTGACTTGCAACAGATATAGAAGACTGACATGACCATTCTTTTAGTCTGTGTTAGAAAACACAAACTTTTTTTCTTTTCATACATAGATTCAGTACTTAGAAGACTGAGAATTGAACTTTTAAAAGTAAAGTTAGGAAAAGGAACAGTACACAAGCTTCATTCCATATTCTCATGCCCAAGAATTCATAGAAATTGAAACTCATAGAAGTAGCTAAATTTGGAGATTTGTGTATCATTTTAATAGAAATGAGGTTAGGTGCTGAGCAAGAATAAATCACTGAAAATGATTTGAAAAGAATAAATCAGTGAGGCATATGATGTCATATGCCTCAAATTTCAGAACTTGGGAAGCAAGGTCATACCTGGCAATAGCACCAATACCAGGCCAGCCTAAGCTACAAAAAATTCTTTTTTTTTGTTTTGTTTTTGTTTTGTTTTTTGTTTTGTTTTGTTTTTTCAAGA